ACGACATAATACTTTCTCTGACCATAACAACTGTAACCTGTTACTAAAACCACATTTTGAGTCTCAAAAATACCTTTTTTAAATTTGTGGAGACGGGGATTTTGGTCCCCACAAAGATATGAAGTTTGTTTCGCTCTTGCCTCGTTGTGACCCCTGCAGGTGCTCTGCTCACGGGCACGTCAGCAGTTGATACGAATGATTTGAACGCAGTGGGAATGAACGTGTATGAGCGGTGAGGGAGACCTGTTCGGTGTTTCAGACCGTGAGTTTTGGAGCGTGTCCACCTGCTGTGTGTTTTTACCTCTGTTTCAGTTTTTGATATTTCTGTGAGCATCAGAAGACTTTTATCTGCAGATAAATGTACAGTTAGGATGAGTCGCCGTGTCAGTGTGGGACAGGTGTGGCCTCAGGTGTGACTCAGAGTGAAGAAGCTTCGGCTCAGACGTGGCACAGAGCAGTTCAGCCCGACACGTGTCCGCTTTGCGTGTGAGTGGAACGCACGGATGACGGAGATCAAACATCTCACTTCGCAGTCGGACGCGCCTCGCCGCCGACATCGAATCGCTTTATAAGAAGAGTTCATCAGACCATCACGCAGCCCGTTTGGCTCATCAGCTGATTGACGCTCTGCAGATTGCGGCGTGTCCGGTAGCAGCAGACAAATCGTTTTCACGCTCTGGCGAGCTCGTCATCCCGCCGGCCGGTTCTGACCTTTTCACCGGGCCTGGATCATCCAGCCGCTCGGCAAATATAGAAGCTTAATCCATCACGCAGGCAGCAGCAGAGGGGGGACTTCCTGTGCACCGCCACCTCACAAAGACCGCAGCGTAGTTTCACAGACGGAGACCGAATAAGTCGTGACGGAGCGCAGAAGTCCGATGTCTCCGGCTGCTTTCAGTCTTCGTCACACGAGCAGCTTCAGGTTCAGATGAGTTATGGCAGCGGTTAGCGTCTAGTCTCAGCAGATATGAAAATGTGATGACTCAGCCCCGCGCACAGCTGATGACACAAAAAGCTTTTTGTGTTCAAAGCTGTAAAGTTGGATGTTTTAACGTCGGAGCCTCAGAGGAGCTGCAGCTTTTGGAGTTTTCAGCCTTTGAAGTTGCAGATTTGAAAAACTCTGACTGTAAAACGTCTTCAAATCTAACGAGCCTCGTGATTAAAAGTTAATAATAATAATCAGTTATGAGAGAATTGTGAATATATGTGGAGCATGTCAGCACGGGGAGGAGGGATTCCCCTGCAGGAAGCACAAAAACAAACATCTGAAGCTCCGCTGGTCTCTGATGGACGTCTGTGTGGAGCTGTGTGGGGTTTAAACCAGACGAGCTTCGTCTCTCTCTCCTCCTCTCCTGGCCGAGCATCGCCGTGGCGGTTCAGGCAGGTTCGTGGTGTTATGTAAGGCCGGCGTCCGGCGGCGTCCCATCTCTGCTTCCTGTCTTTGTTCGGCCCTCTGAGGCATCCACATGTCTCTTCAGTGGCAGCAGACCTGAGATCAGCTAATTATGCGAGCTGGAGTCCCTCGTGGACTGCACGAGACAGAAACATCCAATTATCCTTCTGTTCGCGCTCGCCGCTCTCTCGCTCGGCGGCTCTGAGCAGAAGCAGGTGTGCGTCCCCTCGCCGTCTCGGGGGCTTTGGAGGCCCGAGCGTGACGTGGATGATTTAGTATGCAGCCAGAAATAGTCTGTGAAAATAGCTGCTCAGCACGGCATCCTCGGTATTCTCCACCCTCTGCTCGCAGCCCAGAAACAAAGGTGGTGCAGGCTTCCTCCACCTCCACCTCAGAGTGTGTTTGTGAGATTGTGATGGAGCGTTTGTGTTAATAAAGTTACAGATTCACAGATGGAGACTGGTCTGGTTTCTTAGTTCCAGATAAATCGACCCAAATAACACATTCGTTTGGTTTCTTCTTAATTATGTTAATAATTATCCTACAAAATAAAATCCTTAATGAACGTTTTGTGTATTTGCAGCGTGTGAGTGTAAATAACAGAAACTTTGGGTTTAGAGGACGTTTATTTAATGATGTATCTTCAAGTAAAGTCATTAATGAAAAACAACAGGGGGCCCAAACTTGAACCTTGTGGTACACCTGATGTAACATGAGGAGCAGAGCTGACAGCAGATTGTAGGAAACTTGATCCTGATCTTTAGACGGTGAAGGACGTAAAGAGGGCCCGAGGTGACGCTGAGAGCCAGACTTGGTAGATTTCTGCTTTTTATTTCCACCCTGCTGAGATTTGAAGAACGTGGAAGTTGATAACTCTGCTTGTCTTCCCTTTTCTCTGCAGCTGCAGTTTTAACCTGAAAGGGAAGAAACTCTAAAAAATGTGGAACATCTCGAGCTGTTCAAAATATCATTAAATATTTACAAAAACAATAAACACGAACAAGTGAATTAAACAGAACAAAGTATGCACATGAGTACAATCTTCATGTAACAACAATAACATAATAACGACTACTTCAGTGGAGGAGCCTGTTAGCCTGTTAGCCTGTTAGCCTGCAGCGCTGCGTTCGTGATGCTTTCATCACCGTGGGCACTTTTTTTCTTCTGATTAATAATTTAACAACAAACCTCAACAGCTGATTGGCTGAAAGTAAAAGTGAGAAATCAGAGCTGAGCAACTGGAGTGTGAACACTTCCCCTTTAATACACAGTGACGTGACCTCTGACCTCTGCTGAGTCAGCTGATGCCTCACATCACTTTCATTTTTATTTGCCCTTCTTCCTCCTCTCCTCTGCTGGAGCTCAGAGCAGGCTGGGAAGTTTAGATCCACAGCGCCCTCTGCAGGAGCAGCAGAGCTCTGCAGGCGCCAGTCTGACTGCAACCTGCACGTTTATCCACACATCCATCATTTTCTACCTCTTATAGGGATTCAGACCTTCTGTGCTGATGTTAGACTTTCAGTGGTTTGACTGAGATTAATACAGATTTGAATGCTGGATTATTTCTGGATTAATAAAGAATTTAGTGTTTCAACTCTGGAATTTTAATATAAAAAATATATAACTGAAACAGATATATATGGAGAGAGAGATATAGATATTTAAAATCTAAAATAATTATTTTTGCCAATAAAAACAGTTAGCTTAATTGTTTTTTAATTGTTATTTAAATTCTATGAACCGAGTCGAGGCCTTTCTTTGTTTTACGTGAGGAAAGTAGAACGGGAACAATAATAAAGTTGTCTGTCCTGCGTCTGTCCTGCGTCTGTCCTGCCTGACTGGCAGAAATCTCTGATTAGAGCTGCTTCTGTTTCCAGATGTTAAAGGTCCTCCGGCTCACCGATTCTCCTGCGGTCAGAGCCCGTACACCAACAGCGGCTCCTGGGACAGGAAGTTCTGCATCCTGACCGACACCCAGCTCATCCTGCTCAACAAGGATGATGAGGTAAAACTGACCAGCTCCCACAGGTCACGTGACCTTTCCACGACACACTCTCTGACTCCCCTCTCCTCCTCTTCCTCCCCCTCAGGTTGCAGGCGACGCTCAGGAGAGCCCCACAGACTCGGCGAAGGCTCGCAGCCTCCGCAGGACGGTCAGCGTCCCCTCAGAGGGACAGTTCCCGGAGTTCCAGGCAGAGGGCGCCACCGCCATGCTCGGTAAGATCAGAGCTGGTTATGTAATACCAGGTGCATCGTGTGTGTGTGTGTGTGTGTGTGTGTGTGTGAGATTAAAAACTATAAAACACAGATAAAAACTATTTTAGCGTCGAGCTTTTGTGCTTGTTGGCGTTTTCGGCGTCACGGCGACCTGCGGTTTGACTTTGATACTGGGTTAAATACTCATCCTCTATTGGTTTAACTGTGATGTTATACTGGGTTAACTAGACTGGAGAAATATATTTATGCTGGAAATTACTGACGTTTGTTCTGGTTTAAGAAGAATGTAGCACATACTGGTTTTCAGTATACTGGTTTATATACTGGGTCGATATTTGCTTAGAAGCTGGATTCATACTGGTTGTTGTGGTGGTTTGTATGAAGCTGGGTGTCAGTCCTGGATTTATGTGGGTTTGAAACTGGTTTTACACATAAACCCGGTTTCATACTGGTTATTTGATTGTTAGTGATCCTATTTTCATGACGTTTGTCGGCATCATAATAATATTTTATTAAAGATTTTTCTACTAAATTAAGGATTCATATGTATTTTTTAAATAAGTGTAAAATATAAAAATGTCTTGATTTTATTCACTTTGTTTTCATCTAAAAGAAAAAGCGAATATTTTATTATTTTTATTGAAAAGCAAATATTTTCATAACTTCTCCTGCACAAGTTTGAAGTTTGAAACCAGTCGTGGAGCATTTTTGGTGAATTTCAGCTGCCAGATGTTCACAGCTGTCTGCGGCGCTGTGAGGATTCTCGCCGCCGCAGGCTCGAGGCGTGAGAGTTTGTTTTGTTTGTGTGTAACCTGTGATTGCTGCTGTGACGTGTCGGCGCGCTGCGTCTCTCAGGTGGATGTTTGTCTGCTGTAATGAGGCGTT